GATAGATAGATAGATAGATAGATAGATAGATAGATAGATAGATAGATCTAACTCCATCATATGTAGAAATTTCCCTCTTTAATCTTAATCCTCATAGAAGTAATTTATTTCCTCAGGGAATAACATTTCCAGGCTCTCAGGTTAGTAAAAAACAACACAAGCCGAGCACTTGTTTTTTACACCATTATCACATATTTATTAACTAGTCCAACCATAAGTGCACAGCAGCAATGTTCAGCTGGCTTGGAACGGATGACAGGAGGAAGAAAGAGCCAGAAGTCTTCCAGACGGTCAGCGATGGACTGAAAAAACTCTACAAAACCAAACTCCTGCCTCTGGAGGAGAGCTACAAGTTCCACGAGTTCCACTCTCCGGCCCTGGAGGACGCCGACTTTGACAACAAGCCTATGGTCCTGCTTGTGGGACAGTACTCCACCGGCAAGACGAGCTTCATTCGGTGAGAAAACTGCACCTGTGTGCTCATTTATACTTGGAATGAGCTGCGTTTGGAGATGAAAGTGGCACACACAGAAAGACATGAGACACGAGCTGCCAGAAAGATTAACAAGGGGAGTGGCAGACACACCCAAGATGACGTACTCGTACACAAAAAACACAGTGAACAGTATGAAAAGATTAAGTCCTCAGCTTTCAAGGAACCACACCTCATCAAGCTTTATTGACTCCATAAAAAGTTAGTTTTGCATCACGCACTCACAAATTTGCTGCATAAGGAGGCACCGTTTCCCTCCACAGTGACATGTGTGTGTTTTTGTTAAAGAGAGTGACAGATGGACATTATCTGCTTCAGACAGATGCAGCTTCTTCACTTGGAAAATAAAAATGTTCTGGTTTAAGTTTGGGAATATGTTCATTTTAATGGACACTTAATTGAAAGTTGTAGCTCTTGAACAAAACAATAGTTGGATATACAACCTGAGTACGATGTGGAAACCCTGAGACTTCTTATTGTCCTTTAAACTAACAAGAAAAAACAACAAATGTTGGTATTGTCTTATTTACTTTACTTTGTGTAAAAATATTTAAACAACAAAATTATTTAGGTTTGTTAATTCCATTGCAGACAAGCTAATGACTATTACCAGTTTTCCCAATAAATACCTTGTTGATGGATTTCTTTGTGTGTGTGTGTGTGTGTGTGTGTGTGTGTGTGTGTGTGTGTGTGT